AGCCAGATGGAAAAGAAGGACACTTGGTTTGTTTTAAAATTGTCATGGACATTTGGAAAAAAATACAGGATTTGGTTTTAAAACAAGGAAAACAGGCGCCGATGAAACGTTGAAAAGAAGCAATTCAGTTAAACTTGAGATGATTATTTTTGTACCCAACATTTTTCTCCGTATTAGGAAAGACAAGCCAGGACGTGCCATCAGGAAAGCTCAGTGAAAAAACACCTTCAGTTCAAGAAGTCAATTGAGGAGCCAAACTTGATGGTACAGGATTAACCGCTGGAGGTTTTCTTTGATTTGTGCAGTTGCATCAAATCCTGTTATTACTGCTGCTTGAAAGGAACCGGCTGGGGGATGCCAGCTTAGCCCCGGTGTTCCTTGGCCTGCGGGGACGTGCTAAGCCCTGGGAACAGAGCATCCCAGACTCGGTCATCCGCTTGGGCTTAGAATGGAGACGGTGGCAGAAAAGTGAAGCGCGTCCACAGCACGGGTGAAAAAGGAGACCGTCGGGCCAGGGTGATAAGAGTGAGTCTGCAAGTGTAACCACGGGGAAGTGGAAGAGTGGGTGCGACCCCGCGGCTGAGATGAAGGGTTCCCTTGGCAGGCTCCTGGGGCGCAGGACCCCCCCTCCTCCAGAGCAGTACCCCGTCTGCTGCAGCTCCTCCAGCGGTCCCGGCGTAAAATCCCCATTTGCCACCTAACCGGGTGGCCGCTGCGCCGAGTCGGTGCCACCTGCAATTGCACAAGAGGGCTTGAGCCCAGCTAGCAGGTCCTGGCCCCAAAGCGGCCGCTCCTCTCTCACCACCCTCCCGCTTTCTACCATCTGCACTTTGAAATTGATTTGAACATTAACATACATATTTTTGTGATGTCAGGGTGAGGTTTTTTTGTCTGGGACTTAACCTACTTCTGCTTTAATTCCAGAGAATGGTGCTGAGATCTGCCCGTAAGGAGAGGTTCCAGCACAAGCACCAGTTGTGCTCCCCGGAGCGCAGCGTTAGCACCCGGCTAATTCCCTTGAGCCCGGTTGTCCTCCAGCAGCGCTCCCCGGGGACACGCTCGCTGCCCGGGCACGGCACGTCCCCCAGGCACCTCGCGAGATCCCCGCGAAGGGCAGAGCGAGCGCCGAAGGCTTTGCTGGGGCTCCTCACCTCTCCCTCAGCCCTGTCCCATCCCTGGCACTGACTTCCCAGTGAAGGCAGAAACCAGAAGCTTTTGGGACCGGGAGAGGTGAGGCGCTGGGTATGAATTGCTGTGCTTTGAAGGCGTCTGATGGATTTTGCTGTTCCCTTCCGGCTTTTTCCAGCAGCGGCGAGCAGCGCTACCCAAGCCTGGTAGCTGCCCTGCGCTGGGGCACGGAGGTGTCGGTGCTCGTCACTCGTGCACTGAGCGGAGCCGGTCTCAGCGCTGGACTTGGTGCCCGGGGCGCGGCACGGAGGGTGAAGGTTTTTTAATATCTCTCGAGCTGTTCCTCTGCAGATTCACTCTTAGAAACAAGGTCAGATTTTCCCTGGTTTACAGCCTCGGCCGTTTACACGAGGCTCCGTTAGTGTTTTCCTCTCTGGCATGAATGGGCTGATACTTAGGATGGTTAATTAGTGATTTCTGATTGAGAAGGCAGGCGGCAGGGTCGCTTCGGGCAGCCGGGGCACCTTCTCTGAGCAGTTCCAGTTTTTCAGAAAGCTTCTCCATCCACAGCGTTCCCGCCGGCAGCGCCCAGCAGAATTGGCTCTCCCAGTAGCTGGGAGTTTATGGGAAAAGGTCAGAGGGATTTGATGGTAATAAAGTGGTTTAACAGTGTTCTTCTTGAGCAGCTCTTATTGCTAGCGTTCAGAGCGCTGGCTTGGAAGCTTACATGAACTTTGCTCTCCAATGTGCTTGGCCAGGGACATTACAGAATTACTTATTTTCTGGTTAATGAATAATTAGTCCAGTACAGACAGTTTGGAAGCTGTAGGTAGTTCAGCTGTGGCTCCTGTGCTCGGGGCCGGCTGTGATGGATGCAGCCCCTGAGGATGAGGTCAATTAAGTTAAATTTCATTTTTACCCCAAGCGCTGCTCGCGAGGAGTCAGCCTGCGGTGGATACCTTAAAGCCCGACAAATTCAAGCCCGAGTGAAATCTTGCCGTGTCGACACACACTCCGTCCCCCGCGCAGCGCCAGGGCGAGAGCCTCCGTCGGAGCGAGCGCCTTCGGGGAGGGATGGACAGCGTTTCGGGAGAAGACGAGGTGTAACCCATAGAGTGGGGGTGGATAGATCATCCCCCGGGGCCCGCGTGCTGCGTGGGGCGTTGGATCTAAAATAGGCAGCGTGGGTTTTTCACCCAACAGCTTCAGGTATACTTGGAGTCGGATGGATTTGATGTGTTTGTGTGTTTCCTGGTCAAATACAGCGAATTCCTGTAGACGGTGACCCCTCTCCAGCCAGCCGGCTGCTGCGTGCTGTTTACCACATCCCACAAATTTTAACGATTCAACCCCGTATAGCGAATTTTTGCTGTCTGTGCAGTATCTCATGGGAAGAGGTAGGGTGAGCAGCCGGGCGGGAGGCGGTTGGCACCGAGGAGACACAGGAAGCAACTCAGTTTCACGGGCAAGTTATTATTTAGCTGGGTTTATTTTGCAGCCAAAGTGCCTTTGGCAGGGCAGAGGCATTTTAAAAACGCCGACCCTTAACCTCGAGCGACTCGAGTCTGAAGGGGTGGGAGCAGGCGCTGTGCCGGCAGCCCCGGAGTGGGGTGCTCAGCACCCACCTAATTAATAATAGTCCGTATTGGCTGCAAATTCTGCCGCCTCGTTAGTCTAACCAGCTTTCCCGGAGCGGGGAAAGGGAGGTGCAGGAGGATGTGGCAGAGCATCTCCGTAGCGCGGGGTCGGGTGAGCGACTCCCGCAGCTCGCAGAGGTTTTTCTGCTGCCTTTCCTTCTCCCACTCTGTAAAGAAACTCTTCCTTTCAACACCGTGTTTCCCGAAGCTGAATTTTTCTTCGTTTTAAGTAGGGGGGCTTCAAGCTTCTTCACAGAAATCTCAGTTTGACACGTGAAACAGATCCCAGCATCTGTTTTTCAGGACCGGCATCCTTGGACAGATGGGAGCGCCGCTGACCTGCACGCTCCCATCCACCTTATCAAATCCGGGGACGATAAGTGCAGGTGCCCGCCCAGACCAGCCCTCCCTTCCCAGAAATACCTTACGGGAATGGCTGCTGTAGATTTCTTTTTGTTATTAATGAGATTTAAGTATTGGAGGCACGTTTCAGTCCACAAATCTCCACGTTCCCACGTTAAAGACTCTGTTTCTCAGGAAGAGACATGGGCTGTGCCTTTAAACTCCACTCATCTCTTTTTTGTCCCGTAGCCGGTGTCACTTTGCAAACGGGACAGAGGTACCGGCTCCCCACCGCTGGCAGCGCACCTTCGTTCTGCCTGAAAATAGGCATCGATTGCAGCGCTTCCCTAAATTATAGCCCAGAGCAAACCGTGTTGAACCACACCGTGTCCCCCCCGGGCTTTGGGGTTTACTCCTGCAGCAGTGGCACTCGGCCGCCGAGCCGTGGGCGGTTTGGTTTGGTTTGGTTTGGTTTGGTTTGGTTTGGTTTGGTTTGGCTTGGGCAGGACTCGCAGTGCTCTCGGATGGCATCGGGGTCTCTCCGTAACGCAAGAGCCGCTCCTTTCCGTTGCCCGCAGCTGAGCTGAGGAGCCTGAGCAGCCCAGAGGGGGGGTTCAGCTCCACCGCCCCCACCTTTGCCGAGGCTCGGCCACCGCTTGCCAAAATGGCTCGGCCCCTCTGCTCCCCGGGCACAGGGCGAGCGCCGGTGCAGGTGATGTCCCCGCTCCCTGATAGCATGGCTAATTATTAAAATTATGCTATACTTTGATCTGTGATCTAATTATCTTACCTTTGTGGTTGAATTATCTGATCTGGGACTGACATGTTTGAAGTCTGTCCACGAGCACTCCTGGCAGACGTCCCTTAACCGGGAGATTAGTCACCGGGACGGGAGCAAGCCGCGGCAGAAACAGGCCCAGACGGAAATTCTGTGGACACACAAACCGTTGGGTGTTTTTAAAAAAAAAAAAAAAAAAACCACCAACAAACCTTGTCTGGGGTTATGAACGGCGTTAGGTGGAAGTTTCCATGCTGGCTCCTGTCCTAAGCCTCCAGCCCTGGTCGGGTCCGGTCGTGAGGCTGAGCGATGGGCAGTGAGTCAGCCCTGCAGGTTCTGGGGATGGAAAGGAATTTGGAAAGGCGTCAGCGCGGGAGAAAGAGATTTTTATTCTGTGTATCTTCTTGCCTATATCTTGTCAAACCCAGAAGTTGTAGAAATGCAGGTTTTGTGCTAGCAGAGGTCAGGTAAACTGGAAATTCTCCCTAGCTGGGGATGGGGCGGTCCTTCACCCTTCTCCGTCGCTCTGCTCTTCTGGTGGGGAGCACCTCGAGCCATGGGGAGCCTGGTCCTGGGTGTCGGGGGGTCTGAGGGGCAGATGGTGGGGAGCTCGTGCTGCAGATGGGGCCGGGGCAGCCCCCGGCTACGCACACCCACTGCCCAGTGGGGTTTGGCATCACTGGCTGCTCACCCCCTTCAGAGGCCGTGGGGTGCCGTCAGACGGCTGCCAGTGTTCTGGGGGGCTCTGGCCTGATGGGGTTTGCCCGGGGAGGCAACTGCTTTCATAGAATTATAGAATGGTTGGGGTTGGAAGGGACCTTGAAGACCATCCAGTCCCACCCCCTGCCCTGGGCAGGGCCACCTCCCCCCAGCCCAGGTTGCTCCAAGCCCCGTCCAACCTGGCCTTGAACACCTCCAGGGATGGGGCAGCCACAGCTTCTCCGGGCAACCTGCCCCAGGGGATCACCACCCTGAGGAAAGAATTTCTTCCTAGTACTTAATCTAAATCTCCCTTCTTCCAGCTTGAAGCCATGTTTTTTTTTCCCTTGTTCTTCTGCTTTAAGCAGGGCGTGCTGGCAGCGACATACCCTGTGGAAATAGCGCTGGTGCCAGCGATGGGCGGCAACGTGGGTGTGGGGAGACTAAATGAAATCCCACAGCGATGTGTGCGTGTCTCCAGGCGGTGACCGCTGTGCCTGGACGAGGCTCGACGCAGCGGTGCGGCTGTGTCTGAGCGCGAGCCCTTCTCTTGCAGTGGAACCTGGTGTGTGACGACGACTGGAAGGCTCCGCTGACCACCTCCCTCTTCTTCGTGGGGGTCCTCATCGGCTCCTTCATCTCGGGGCAGCTCTCGGACAGGTAACGCCGCTGGTCCCACTCCGCCTGTGGGCAGAGCTGATGCCACGGATGGTGCCTGTGTTCTTAAGAGGCGTAAGGGAGTTAAATGGCCACTTCTCGGAGTTTTGATCCAAATGAGGTAACTGGCCTTGGCATCTTCCAAAATCCCAACCGTGACCTACCCCAGGCGCAGGATTACGGCCTCTCGGGGGCTTTAGGAGACCAAGAGCTGATCTCTGCAAGGAGCCCATGTGGCTGCTTCGCAGATCAATGTGGTGGTTTTCACTTCGCGACCACATTTGTTTCTTTATTCGGCTCTTGTAGCAGTTTGAAAGCTGTTGTTCCTTGTCACACACTAACTGACAGTCCATTCTTAGAGCTGCAGGAGAGAAACTTGTTCTTTGAGTGGAAGCTCTGCATAGAAGAGGTGGTTTGCCGGAAAGAAAGAAAGCGTATCCAAGAGCAAGAAAAAAAGATCACCTGTAATGGATAGCAATCATGTCATACCATCTACCATAAGTAGATATAAAATATCAAAAACTCATTACAGGCTTTTGATAGTTATCTCAGCAATATTGAAATTTTGGCCTTGCAAGTGTTGAATGCAGAATATATGTTCCTTCTGCGAGTCTCTGCTTCCCTCTTTATCCAGCCCTGAGCCTTTTTTTCCGCGTGGTTACAGTGGGATCTCCAGTACTGCTTCGGCTGCTGCCGGATAGTGCGGAACTCGTACGAGCAGCAGCGCTCCTCGGGGCGTTCAGCAGAGGGGTTTCAAAACTCGGTGGGAGTCTTAATCCCAAAGCCTCCAGCATTAAACTCCATGTGATCCGAATTTAATCTCCCGACTCCTGCCCCCGGTGCAGAAGTCAGTCAGTGTTACTGTTTGAAAGGGAGACGAGATAATCACTAAATCCCACTGGTGCCATGTGCCCACTGGGAACATCGGAGAAAGCACGCGTGCCCCGGTGGCCACGTGGCCGGTCAGCCTCCCCGAGAGACCGGTGGCCTTCTACATGAGCTATTCATTGAATTTTATATATTTTTTTTTAATGGTTTGTCAGTTAAGGGGGGTGTTCTGGGCCATTTCCCCTGTGCTGCTGCAGAAGCCCTCGCTGAGTGAGGCGCCGCAGCGGCGGTGCGTGCAGAGGGCAGCGTGCCCTGGGCCAGCGCGCAGGCGTGCAAACCCGCACCTGAGCTCCCTCTTACCTCTCCGTAAGAACACGCTACGTAATTCTAACGCAAACAGGGGGGCGAGAGAACGGGTGCAGTCCACATGGCAACTCAGGGAGACCGAAACCAGTTGATAAAGCTATTTAATAGAGTCAAAGCGTAGTGGTGCTGCGGTGTGTAGGTGGCAGTAGCCCAAACACCATCGTGTCCCAACTCTGGGCTGCGTGGCGTGCAATCGCCTTCTGTCTCTTGCGTATGTACTGCTGTCTAGTCTCTTCAGTCCCTGTCTAGCGGCTCCCTGAAGTTTCTGCTCTTAATTTTTCTTCTGGGTTTATTTCCTGGGTCTTGGAAATACCAAAACTTTACTTATTTTTTATCACTTACGAAAAAAATTCCTTACAATGAATGAAACTTCAGGTTGTTCTAAGCTGCATCTCTTGAGGTTGCATATTTGTGCTCTCTTATATAGCCCTGCTCCATAAATAAATGCTGTTTCAATAACAATCTCCTTTATCTTTTGCAAAAGGTTTGGCAGGAAGAATATCCTTTTTTTGACGATGGCGGTGCAGACTGGCTTCAGCTTCCTGCAGATCTTCTCTACCAGCTGGGAGATGTTCACAGTGCTCTTTCTCATAGTGGGGATGGGACAGATCTCTAACTACGTGGTGGCCTTCATACTGGGTATGAGTATGTCTGCATTAGATTACGTGCTTGCTTAATATACGGTTGTTTTTTTTTTAACTCTGAATGTCCATCATTTAATTAGACCGGTAAATCCTCACTGGTGCGATTCCTAATTTAGGGCAGTATCATTTTTTTCGCTCTTGGATACTTCAAGCCTATACTTTCTATAGGTTTAGAGGAAAAAAAAAAAAAGAGAGCAGGAAGACTCTAAATAAACATCCATTTCCCTCTTTGGAGAAGAAGTCCAAGGCGGCGTTCGGGGTTTGTTATCAGCAGAAGCAGGTCTGAGATAGAGAAGGCGTTTGGGTTCCTCCCCACCTCGCTGCCCCTGTGCAGAGGGGTCGTGCAAAGCCTTGGAGCAAACCAGTGTTTCCAGCAATGGCGAACGTGTGGGGGGACCAGAGCGGAGGAGCCGGGTGGGTGTCAGAGCCCCGTTAGCCATAAAGTCACCGGTCCCAGTGCTGAGGTTAGCGATAAAGTCCCTAATTTTAG